TTTTTTTTTTTTCTTTCTTTTTTTTTCTCAAATTAACAAGATTTTGAAAATAAAAAAAGACCGTGGAAAAATAACAAATTTTTAATTGAATAACTTTAAAAAAAAAAAAATAATAATAATAACTAATAATTTAAAAACATTCATCTCCACAAAAGTCAAATCAAGATTTTTAATTATTTTATTAAAGTTTTAATTGAAAAAAGAAAGATATTATCCAAGTATGGTTGTTTATAACTGTGGGGTAAAACTGTAATTATTAAAATAAACAAAAAATATATATATACTATTTTTTTTATACATTTTTTTATTAATAATCTATTTTTTTGTTTACGGTATTAGGTAAAATGTTTATATAAATGTTTACTTTTCTTAACTTTTTTTACAAAGAAAAAAAAAAAGGAACAATTTAACGCCGAAAATAATAAAAATAATAGAAAAATTAAATTGCGCGTTCGCTAAACATGGTTGAGTTTTATGATTATGAATTATATATACTGTATATGTATATGCATGTATGTATGTGTATATATAATTAAAAGTATGTGCGAATAAAAAAAATTTTATTTTATTTTTTTTTTTCTTACAATTTTCCAATTTGTTTAATTTTATTTTCGCGTTTTATCTTCTTTTTCTTTTTTTTTTAGTGATCAACAAATGATTAATGATTGGATGAACTGGATGAACCAGGTCAGACCTCTGTCTAACAATGCGCAGAAAAATTTTTTGTCGATTAAATTTGATTTATCTCTCTTTTTTTCTGATAATCTTTTTTTTTTTTTGTAACCCTTGTAACCCTAAAAGAAATTAAACGATCTTTGATATATTATAATTGATATGTTTAAACGTTTTAATTATGTTAAACGTTTGAAACAATGGTTTTTTCATAAGAGTCGAATTAAAATTTTTGTAATTTTTGTGATAATTTAGATAATTTAAAAAATCAAAACATCACAACTACGATAACTACAGACATCGCGTTCTTATTTTGGTAAATAATGTATGTTAAGGTTTTAAAAAATTCGCAAGAACATAAATTCCCTAAATGTTTAATATGATCGAGATATCACGTTAATCTATCACTTTTATATATAAGTGAAGAGTAAATCTTTCCATATAGCTTTGATCCTTAAAATATCTCTAGTACTTTTTCTCCACGACTCCGCGTGCACAAAGTCGATCTTTTAAGTTTCTGCATCAAGTTCACCTGCATATTAAATAGAATTTAAAGTTTAAAAAATATAAAATATTGAACTTGCCTAAAATAAATATTAAATAATAATTTAACATCTAATACATCTATAATACATATACATAAAAAAAAAAAATCTTAAATTTAAATTTAGTGTCATTTTAGTTTAATTTACATGTGAGATGTGTTTCCATTAGAAAGAAAAAAATGTATTAGAATATCTTACTTAAAATATATTTATTTATTAAAAAAATCACAAGGAAAAATTCTCATAATTTTTAATGAAGTTAATAAAAGGAAATGTGTCGGTTTATATTTTATGATCATTTTAGGTAATTTAGTAAGAAAAAGTATTGTCATCTTGCATATATATATACATATATACTGATATGTTATATATCCCAAATTTTTTTTTTTTTTTTGTTACATTTCGGTACATCGATACAGGACCCGGGAATATAATACATTTTTGTGATCACTGTGATCACAGATTTTTTGGAACCTTGCAATTTTTCTTTTATCATTATTCCCTATAAATTGACTTTATTCAGTAAAGTTCATTTAATCATTTATGTGATTTTCCATTGTTTCTTCTTGTTTTTTTTTTTTTTTTTTTTTTTTTTTTTTTTTTTTTTTTTTT